ACCCCCCCCCCCCAAATCCTTGCTTTCGTGGGATTCTATTGGGCTGCTGTTGTTGTTTTTTTGTTTTTGTATACAATTAGTTGATATCTTTTTGTTTTTATTCCTGAATCCACCCCAGCACATACACCTTTTATGCTCTTTGGCTCTTGAAGTTCTTCCCTTCTCCTTAAGGTTTCATCTTTTCACTCTATATACCATGTTATATAAAGTGGAATTTTAGAATTTTATTTTCAGCCCAAAGGTTTGATTTTTACCGAAAGGGATCAGATTTGCAGGATCATGTGTTATTAGTGTTTATAGCTATTACTTGCTGCATGTTTGCTTTGACCTTTGGTTTTTATTACTTGTTTTTATGTCATGTAATTTGAGTAGCTTTTATTTACCTTCTCACTTTTATTTTCCCCCCTATGAAGGGAAGCATTTATATGTATTATCAATGAAATTTGTATTTTTATTTCATTAGTCCATACAGTTTTGTTGTGTTGGATAATCATGAAGAATGGTTTTAGACTTTTCGTGGGCATTTCTTTAAAACCTCCGAAGCCTATCCATCCCTAACCCTCTGCTGCCCAAAATGCAAAGGGGAGGGCGGGATTGAGCTATGCAGGGATTTTCATTACAATGGCTCCTAACCATCTCAACAAATAAGAGCAGTAATATCTTCTCTTTGGTTGCTAGGAGGTTAACTTTCTTCTGCATGATTAACTTTATTCTGGCAGGCGAGATTGGCTTTGCTCAAACCCCCCGAGTTGCCAGAAAAGATCTGGTCTGCGAATGGCTGACAACATGAAAATTGATGGCCGGGTTAATGTTTATGATGATAAACCCATTGAAGAGGATGATGGTGGCCTATCTAAAGGCATCATAAAAGATGAAATATCAAACACGGCCATCCAACGCAAGCATGCGGCAATGATACAGCGCCTCTCCAACCTCCATCAGTCACGGCTGGCGTCGTGCAAGCCTAATTCGGACCCAAACACCTCTCCAGACTCCACACAGTCATTCCTCTCTCATTTCTCCGGATCGAAAAGATCAATCGAATCAGAACTGTCCCAGGTCTGCAAAACCCAAGACCCAACAAATCTAAGATCAGAACTGGAAAGGGTTTCAGCTTCAATAGCCAGTCTTGAAAAGCAAGTCGCCGAGAGCTCATACTTTTTGCCCTCATATGAAGTCCGGTCATGCCTCAAAACCGTCTCCGAGCTCAAGCAAGCCCTGGAGCAGGCAAACTCTACTGTCATCCCAAAGAAAAAGTTCTCATTTCGAAACAAAACCGCAAAGAAGGACTTGATTCCAGAGTGCCCATCTAAAAACAACACCATGGCTCAAAATCCTGGGAGTTTTTTTCAGGGTTTGGACTTGCCTGGCTTTCAGGACAGGGAAAATGAGGTCTTGTCAATGGATTTTAGCAAAGCTGGGGAAGATAAAACCGGAGGAGAGTTTATGCTCTCTGATTTAAGGGGTTGCGAAGTTCGACTGCTGGGGTGTGTGAGGGCATTGTTTGTGCATAAGCTGAAAAACTGCAAGGTCTACGTGGGGCCCGTGACCGGGTCCGTTTTGATCGAGGAAGCGAAAGGCTGTGTCTTTGTGTTGGCATCTCACCAGATTAGGATTCACCATGCAACGGAGTGCGATTTTTACCTCCGGGTACGAAGTAGGCCTATAATTGAGGACAGTGTTGGGGTGAGGTTTGCCCCATACCGTTTGGGGTATGCCGGGATTGAGAGGGATCTTGAGAGGGCAAATCTTTGCGAAGAGTCCGGGTATTGGGCGAACGTGGACGATTTTCGGTGGTTGAGGGCAGTGCAGTCACCCAATTGGTCCGTTTTGCCCGAAGATGACCGAATCGGAGTCGTGGATATTTCAAAACCGGAGTAGCGAGGTAAATTCCATAAACGGTCTCTGATAACAAGTGGCTTTTCATTTTTGTTATTTAATTCTAAGATATTACATTCGTGGTCCTCAATTTTTGAAATGTGTTTCCTAACCAGTCCTTTATGGACTATACCTGGAAAATAATATTTTGATTGGGCCAACAAAGGACAATGAGCTGGTCTTTGTAATCTGACTGGAACTTTGTGGGTCAAGATGTTGGGCCAGTCCACATACTGAAGACCAAATAATGAAATCTGGTCCAAATTCAAGTCATCAAACAAACAAGTTATGACCTTTGCATATATTACCCTCGCCCCACAATATTCGTTTAATTTATCTTTTTTAAATTAAATTCGACAAACTTTCATCATTAATTAATATTGCACATTAGTATATTAATTTTTATACATAATGCGTAAAAATTTATTTCGTTGAACTTTTTTATTGTTACTCATTGGTAGAGTTTAGTACAGAATATGCATTGGGCAATATCACGCGATCCTAAGGTTCATGTTTATTTTATGGATCTTAGTACTTTGATATTATAAAAGATTTGGACTTTTTATTTAAAAAAAAAGAAAATATCCATTTGCCGGTCCATGAAAAGTGTGAGAAAGTTTTAATTTCTTATGTGGACCTTGAAAACAGAGAAGAACAACTCTAACCATTGCCATCTCATTTGGCCAAATCTGTCCTATTAAATAATAAGTGGACAATTTTGCCCTTCACGTCTTTTCTTTCCTTTTTAAACATTTAAATGCAAAACATGTCTTTTAAATATCAATATAGTGAATGGGGGATGGTTCCCATGACATTGCCCGGCAATGTCATGGGATAACCCGGGGACGTTCCGGTGTCCCGTTCGTAAAATTGACGGTTCCTATCCCTTCTAACCTCCCCGGTAAATCCATCCCGTCCCAACCTCCTTCAATTGCACCCCACAAGTTGATTTTGACTTTGGAGTGACTCCAAAGTCAAAATCAACTTGTGGGGTGCAATTGAAGGGGTGGGGGTGTGTGTTCGGGTTGGGTCGGGGTGGGGGGATTCATCGGGATGGGGGGTTAAGGGGGTAGGAACCATATTTTTTACGAACAGGGTAACGGAACGCCCTCGGGTCATCCCATGACATGGGGTTCCAATGCCATGGGAATCCTACCGTAGTGTATATAAGTAAATGAAGGGTGGGTTTGGCAATAATCTTTGACATTTAAGTGTACTTTCTCCATTGATGATTTAATGACTACTGCCTCCGTCTCAGTGTAATTGTCCAGTTGGACTTTTTTGAGTCAAACTGGACAAACTTTGAACTTCAATTACTCTCAATTTATATTGCACATTAGCATAATGAAATACAATTTTGAAGATTCTCAATACGATAAATCCAATAAAGTCATTTTTATGTTAAAATACATTACAATTTTTATTTAATTGAAACTCAAAGTTTGTCCGGTTTGACTCGAAAAAGTTAAACTGGACAAATACACTGGGACGGAGGGAGTACATTATATCTCAAGTTTTCAACAATTAGGTAATCTCTGTTTATACTATCAACAATTATGAATTATTTGTTCATTTAATGACCCATGCACCTAATAATACATCAGCAATTGCGTATTCTTTTTCTTCTGAAGCTTCTTCTCATTAATGTTTCTCTAAGCATCCACTTTAATGGATTGTTTGGATGGACAAAAAAAATGAGAGAAAAGAAAATATATTATTTGGATAGATAGAAAAAATGAGAGAAAAGAAAATAAAGAGAGAAATATTAGTTTGTCTACTCTCTACAAACCCCCTCCATCTCTATACATGCAATTTTAAAAAAGTCATAATATTTAATAAATAAATAAGAAAAAGGCCCTTCAAAAAAAAAAGGGGGGGGGGGGGGGGG